TGGCTCCAGGGCTCACCCGAAGGCACGGAATGGGGCTGAAGCAGCTCCTCACCACCCAACTGGTGGCCTGGGCAGCTCCCCCCACGCAGAGCCTTCCTGACACAGCCAGTCACCCCGGCAAGTGCCCCCACCCCGGCACAAGCCAGGCACCCCGAGGCGCGGCGCCTCGCAGGAAAACTCCCACTTTATCAAGGGAATTGAGCACCATAAATTGGTCTCTTAAGTCGATTCTGCCTGCTGCCAGGCCTCTTCCCACCACCTAATTTGATGACAAACACGTTCCTCTCCTCCTCCCACCCTTTAATCTAATGAAGAGCACTGTGTCCAAGGCACAGGGAAATAAACTCTGATGAGGTCGATTTTTGTAGGTAAACAGCCTGATTTCTCTGGCCTCACCCCTCACAACCCTAACTCCCCAGCACATCCCCCTACTGCCTCACCATCCCTGCCCCACAATTTGGCATCGGTGTTTATAAAAATTACCTGTTTATAGAATGTTTTTCTACATTTCATTAGAGCTTGAGGGGCTGCTTTGCCTCTGGCTTTACTGTGCCTGAGCAGAGGAAAACAGAGGCTGCTGGGGCTGCAGTGGGGGCACGGGGGGTCCTGCAGAGCTGGGAYGGTGCCAGATGGATGCCCAGACAGGGGGTCAGTGCTGGGCTCCGTGGCAGCTGAGCAGCAGCGTGCCTGGACACAGGACACAGCTCTGGACACGCTCAGGCCTTTGAGCCAGGGCAGCCCCASTGGCCTGTCAGGCTCCATGAACACACCAGAGGGACAAAAGCCACCAAAGGGGCCGTGACAGTGACAACCATCATCCCCTGTCCCCCTCTGCCTGCAGCTGCAGGGATGTGAGGCCTGGGGTGGCTCGGGATGCAATAGGGACCAGGTTCCTGCCTGGCTGTGACAGAACCAAGCAGCACACCCAGGAATGTTTCGGTGATGGGAGGTAAACAGGGTCATGGCAAGTGTCAAGATGCACTCAAGCAGAAATTCTAGCAATGCTAAGTATAGCCTAAATGCCATTAAAGCAGGAGAGGGAAGAGGATACGAGGGTATTAATAGTCTCAACATTTAAATCCTGGGTGCAGCAACAGCTCCTGGGATGCTGGCTGCCCAAAGCACGGTCCAAGCCCRAGGGCATTGTGCCACTGACACGCAGTGCCCGCTGCACCTGCCCTCAGGGAAATCAAGAGCCCAGCAAGTGCAAGGCCAAGGCCCCTTTGTGAAAAATAAACACAGCTTCTGCTCCCTGTCCCTGTCCACGCCCAGAGCTGGGCCAGGCTGCAGACCACACCAAGGCAGCCCCAAAAGGACACCAGCGTTTATTTACAACACTCCTCAAGTGACATACCACAGAAAGGAAAGGGTACAGTACAACTCAAGGACTCAACAAGGGAAAGGTACTGGCAGCCCCGTGTCCCCGCAGTCCTCCCACAGCCACTGGTGCTGGGCAGGCCTGGCAGCCCCATCCCCGCCAGCCYGGAGCACAGGCGGGCAGGGGGCTGCCAGCCCTCTCCACGGAGCAGCCCAGCAGCTCAGGTGGGTCACGTTGGCACAGTCACTCTCCCTGGCTCGGGCTACGATGCACGAACCATCCAAGCCCTGCCAGGAGTGAGTGGCTTCAGGAAGCAGCCCTGGYGCAGCTCCACCACCTCGCCCAGCCAGGGTGAGCTGAGGGGCCGGGTCTCTTCAAGCAGGCGTATCTGGAAAATGGTGTTGGTACAAAACTGCAGTGTTGCCAGGGCGAGAGCTCCCGAGCCTTGCTCCACRCAGCCCCGTGGCTGCCCCCACAGACGCTGTCTCCCCTGGCACTGGCAGGGCCAGGGGGCTGCAGGTGGCCCAGGTCCCTCTGAGCAGCTCTCAGGACCTGGGGCTGGTGCTGACACCCCACATCTCCGTCTGCAGGGAGAGGAACAGTTCCCCCTCCAGCACCGAAGGGACCTAGACTGATCTAAGCACACAGAAAATGTGGCCTCAGATGTGGCCCGTGTGCTCTGGCAGCAAGCAGCCCAGGCAGCAGCTGCCACGGTGAAACTGGGAGGAGTGGCTATGGTCTGCCCAGCCCTCAGCTGCTCAAGGGGGCTGGACAGGGGCTGCCCCTGTGTCTCCAGGCACAGGAGCAGACACAACTGTCCCTCCTGCCCCCGTCCAGCCCCATCAGCTGCAGAGCCTCGGGATGCAGGGGAAAGCCAGACCCAGCCTGATCCGCCAGTGCGTCTGCCTCAGTCCTGCCCAGCCCAGCACAGAAGGCAGCCACAGGAGGGTAACAGATCGGGATGCTCAGTGTAAGTGGGGAAGGACAGTTTGAGRCCAGAGAAAGCTATGAGTGGGGGGCTGGAATCCTTTGCAACAGGCTCTGGGCAGACTCGGTGAGCCCCTGAGCATCCTCGACCTCAGGCAGCTTCAGAGCCAGCCCCAAAGCTGACTGGCTCTCCCACGGGCTTTGGGAGCACAGACCAGAGGAGGAAATTAACACAAAATCTCAAATTAAATCTGCTTGAGGACCTTAGGAGAGCAGCCGACCCTCAGGGAGTACCCGCCTTAGGACTTCTTAGCATCCTGTGTGTTCCTCCTCTTCAGATCACCCAGGTCGACGGGTTTAAACGCTGCAGGGGAGAAGGAGAGGCTCTGGGGGCAGCGGCAGCACAGCCCCCGCCCGGCGCGCCCGAGTGCCGGGCTGGCACAGCCCAGCCGGAGCGATGCCGCTGTCCTCCGCACCTTTCAGGCTGGGGTTCGGCATCTTCTCCACGTACTCCTCGACCAGGCCGCGCTCGGAGCCCATCTGGCTGCGCAGGTCGCGCTCCACGCACTGCCAGGCTGCAAGCACAGGGACAGGGGCCGCTCGCCTGGGCCGCCCCGGGCCCCCCGAGCCCCCCGCCCGCGGCCACCGCCCCCCGCTCACCCTCGTAGATGAAGCGCACGTTCTCCTCGTGTGCCGGCGTGAAGATCTCGCTGCCGGCGCCGGGGGAGCGCGGGCCGCCGCTCCGCTTTCCGTTGTACACCACTCGGGACACGGGGGAGCTGCAGGCGGAGCGCGAGGGTGGAACTGAGCCGGGCCCGGGGCCGCGCTGGGCCCGGGGCCGGGCGGGGCTCACCTGGCCATGGCAGCGGCGGCGCTCGGCGGCGCTCCCGGGGCCGGAGGGCGCTGGGCGGGGCTGCGGGAGGAAGGCGAGGCGCGAAGCCGCGATAGGCCCCGGGCGCCCCCCGCCCGTCACCGGGCAACGCGCGCCCCTCACGGGCCCTGCGCCCGCACACACCGCAGCCGGAAGCGCCGCACTGCGCAGGCGCGGCCCCGCCCGCCCCGGCACG